GATTATGATGGCTACTGCATAAATTTTGTTTTTATTAATCAGCTCTATCTTTGATGGGCTAGAGCGTAACCAGGATTTCTCCATTACATTTAAGATCTGTAACAATTGTATCTCTGCGCTATGATCTTTGTTAACGCAAAACTGCCACTGGCAACCATTTTTTACATTCATTGAAGAACTCAATGGCTTCTTTTTCCCTGTCGTTATTATTTTACAAGGAGCAACAATGTGATGATTGGCTAGAGAATTATGTTGCTCCACTCATTGATTAGACTTCTGTTGACTACTACATGAATTTTGTTTTTTATCAATCAGTTTTCTGCATTTTAGTATTAGGCAATCTTATGGGCTAGTATCTTGAGTATTTCTAGCAAATTTTAGCATTACATTCTAAAATATTCAGGTTTTCTTTTAGGTTTTTTTTTGGGTGTTATTTGAGAGTGGCCATTTTGCTCAAAATTGATGAACATTTTTGTGTTTTACTTTTCCCAGATCTGGGACACAGCTGGACAGGAAAGATTCCAGAGCCTCGGTGTTGCTTTCTACCGTGGTGCTGATTGTTGTGTTCTTGTATATGATGTGAACTCAATGAAATCATTCGATAATCTTAACAACTGGAGAGAAGAATTTCTTATTCAGGTATATATTCTGAACTTCTGAATGCTTTTGAAAACCATCAGCCAACTCTCTGGGATTTACACTCGTAAACTGATTATTTGAAAAACCTTGCAGGCAAGCCCTTCAGATCCAGAGAATTTCCCATTTGTTGTTTTGGGAAACAAAGTTGATGTGGATGGTGGAAACAGTAGAGTTGTATGTATATTTTAGTTGTCCTTCCCTCTACAATCTCTCTCCCCACCATGACAGATGTAATTATCTCATTTGTTCCGACTCTTTAGGTGTCTGAGAAAAAGGCTCGAGCATGGTGTGCGTCTAAAGGAAATATCCCATATTTTGAGACATCTGCCAAGGAGGGAGTTAATGTGGAAGAAGCTTTCCAATGCATTGCAAAGAATGCCCTAAAGAGCGGTGAAGAGGAAGACATGTAAGTTAAACACCATTATCAGTTCTCTTCCCGCATGCGTTTACTTTCCCTAGTAACTATTTGCATGACATATTTGATTTTGAGGACTCATAGTTAACATCTTAGCTTCTGAAGTTATTTTTTTTCATTAGTTTTTGTTTAATTTCAAACCATCTGATTTATTCTTCAATTTCAATTTTGTTTTATCGCGTGCTTGGATGTTTAACTCATGAAGATACTTGCCCGACACCATCGACGTTGCAACCAGCAGCCAACCGAGGTCTAGCGGATGTGAATGTTGAAATGTACCATGTGATTTCCCCCCCCCCCTGGCTCAGCAATAAGTACCCATAAAGTGTTACGAATGATTTGGTCATCCCATTTCCCCAACCATTTTTATGGATTCATAGTGCTTGTCTGATAAACAAAAATGGTGTGTTTATGCTTTTGCATTGGTTGGATTTAGTTGTGTGGAATCTTTGTAATCCTCATTTGTTTTTCTTTGTTTGGAATCAGATTTTATGCTATTTCATAATGTCAAACGCTGCCTCCCTGTTTAATTTGCATTTAAAAGCTTGCTTTAGATTATTATGCAACCAAATCAAAGGAGTATGAAAAAATTAGGATAAACTATACATTTAGTACCTAAACTATCAATTTTAGTCTATTTTAATATTTAAACTTTTAATTCTTTCAAAATCATACTTAAAGTTTAGTTTTTATTTCATTTTAGTATTTTAATGTTAAAAACCTAACGTATTTAGTACTTAAACTACCAGTTTTGATCTGTTTTAGTATTTAAACTTTCAATTTATTTTCAAAATTTAATGTTAAATTTTGAATGGGTATTAAAATAAAAGAAAAATTAAATTTTAAGGTGTAATTTTTTTAAAAAAAAAGGTTTAAATATTAAAATGGATTAAATTGATAGTTTAGGTGTTAAGTGTGTAATTTAACCAAAAAAATTAAAAAGTTACAAATTTCATTGGTCCCATGAATCTACATCGTTGTTCTTGTGGGTTTTGGTAACGTGTTTTTGTAGAGGTAAAAAGTCTGTAGTCTGCGAACCACATTTGCAGGCATCTGCAGCAGAAAAGATTGACCAAAAATTTACAGTCTGCAAGAAGAAGAATGTTTTTTTAACGTCTGTAGACTGTTAAAATAAAATGAAATATAAATAAACTGATTTTTTAAACTTAAAAGAGTTTTGCAATACTGAAATTTAAATAATTTTAGTTTTACAGCAATCGGGGGAATTTTTAGGCGAGGGTTTTTTTTTAATGTTCTTTGAAGAGGTTGGAAGAGTTTTGAAGACATAAAGTCACGTCTACGCCAAGAAGAGAACGCACAGACGTTTTCGGAGCTACTGCCTTCTAAAAAACAAATGGTCTGTGAATCTCAATGTCTGCTCTGTGCATGATTTGCGCGAAACAGACATAATAGCTTTGAATATCTTTTTTTAGAAAAACAAACACCACCTAAGGTAATGATCTAAATATGTCTAGGGTCCTTGTATTATTTCAAAATTAAATATTTAATCCCTGTATTTTTTTGTTCAAACTTGTACATGTACTATATTTGAGATGTTGATTCCTCTCCATCTGACAAATATAAAAAAAGCCAAAATACCTATTGTAATCCCCTGCGTTCACATTTTATCAAATTTGACCCTTAACCTTTACAAGTAAATTGAAGTTTCTTTTGAATAGATTATCAATCAAGTCTTAACCTTTACTGTTTTGAAACAAATTTAAACACAACGTTAGCCATGACAGGGAAGGAAAAAGGACGGGCAGATCAAACTGTTGGTCGAATGCAAGCTGGTTAGGTTTGGAACGACTGAAGCTCTCGCTCTGTCACCGAGGAACTGCAAAGTCTAGGACATAACAACGAATAAATACCGAAGATAATCAGTAGAAGGAAAAGCTCAACCGAAATATTTTACGATAACTTTGCCGACTACAACAAAAAGTGAAGAAGAAAAGCATGCGAGAAATGGACATGGAAGTTATCAGGAAGGGTATATAGTGAAATCTGCAAGAACACTCCGGGTTCAAGATAAGCGCGGCATAAGGACATCAATTTGGAACATATTCAAGACTGATATGGACATCCAAACCATATGGAAGGCCTAAAAGTCCCATAATGCCTAAAAGGTTCGAGTACCCAAGCAAGAACAGCATGTCATTCTATCATTCAACTCGCCATAAAGAAGCTCGAAAATCGAAACAAATCGAAAAACACGGCAGAGCCTACCAAAACAAAGGAAGGTAACTAATCAATATCTAGAAGATTATGATTTTGGAGCCAAAAAAGATTCACTTGTGCAGAAAACGAAACGTGCACAGCTAAGTTAAACTCTTGTAAGTTAAAAATACAAATATAAATCTGCAGGCAATGCATGATTTCAGAACACAGACAAAATCTTGAACAAATTGTTTTCAATTCCATAGGTTCCTAAAACGATCCTATGCTTTTATTTGTCCAACAAAGGATCCAGCTTTGTCACAATGGTGTTGCAAGTCCTATTTCATGAAGTGGGAAAGCAAGTTACAAATCATTAAACGTATATTATATGAGCATCACAAACCATTTCTATCCAAAATTTCTACTTTGGGTTCTTCAAAAAGTCATCTGATGGCATTAAACATTCAAAAGAAAAAGAAATTATAACCTTGAGAGAGCCAGCTCCAGCAGGAGGAATCAACAGCGATGCTTGATTGTAACCTAGCAGAAGCAATGGTGGTATCATCGACTCTACTCCTCCCAACACCGATAGGATCCTTTAAACCCAGAAATAATTTGATAAATTGAGACGATATTTAGATACAAAAAACAAATAAAAGCTAAAAAGAAAGTACCTTGAAGCACAAGGGAGAGCTCTCGTTGAAGGAGAAGAGAAAGGAGGAGAGATTGATTTTGGGGTTAGGTTCTTTAATCTAAGGGCTTTGGATCGAACAGAGAGAGATCTGAACCCGCCATTACCGCTGACATGCAAAACGACGCCATTTTGGTTCTGGATGGTGAAACCAGAGGTTGAAGAAGCAGGCCAAGTTCACGAGCTCGTTTCCATTTCACCCTTAAACATATAATTTGGATGGTTTAATACACTTTTAGGTGTCTAAACTACACATTAAATTAATTTTTGGTGCCTAAAGAATTTTTCTTAAATAGGTGTCTGACGTTTTCAATGTTACACTTTTAGGTGCATGGGTTATAATTACCATTAAATTTGGTCATTATCTGACATGTATCACGCATATAAAATTCAAAAAGAACATTTAAAAAGAATTTAATATTATAATTAAAAAAACAAAAAACCCTAAAAAAATTCTACCATTGATCAGTCACCGTAGGTCTATGGGTATCACCGTTGACATCATCAGAACCACTTCGTTGCTGTAACCAAAACCCAATCATCACCCATTGTTAAACTACACCAATCATCGTGAAAAGTACCGTGAAAGGTCATCGATTTTCTAAGTTTTCTTTTGTTGTTTTCCATCGATTTTGACAACTAAAACCAATAGTACGTTACATGAGTGCCACCATTTAGTTCCTCGCCCTGCTTTAAATGAAACTCAATAAGTGGTAACTTTTTGTCGTCATCGGTGGGAGAGATGAGAGGGAGAGGGACAACATGAGACTTATTTTATTTTTTAAATAATATTTTTATTATTAAAAATATAATGGTAGACACCTAAAAATATAACGGACAAAACGTTAGACACATAGTTTTACCAAAACATTTGTTAGGGACCGAAAGTCAATTTGATATATGGTTTAGGCACCTAAAACTGCGTTAAGCCAATTTGGATCCGAGAATGTAGAGATGGGCTTATATAAAACGACACCTTTGCTGGACTTTACCTAAGCCCAATAGTGTAATAGGCCTGCAATTGCGGTACAAAAACGGCACCGTTTGCATCCAAAAAAAATGTTCTTTAAAAAAGTGGAAAATATCTCACAATTAAACAGGAGTGTTTTCCAGTTATAGCTCCAATCGGCGAAGTCATAATCGTCTCTCATCCGTGAGATTACACTTCCGACCGAATCAATGGCTGCGATCTTCGCTCGCAACTCTCTCAATGCCCTCCGAGCTCGACATCTCGTAAGACCTTACTTTACTCTCCTTCTCAAACGAATTTTCGTATTTTTTGATTGATTTTTTCTTTTCAGTGATGCCCTATATTTGTATTTTTCATGGTATCGATTATCATTTCTCCATTAAAAATCTGTTGACTATCGACTTGTGGGAGTTAAAATCTTAATTTTATGGCATGTGGTAATTTAATTTGGAAATGAATTGAAGAAAAGGGCAAGGCTCCGTCGGTAAGTTTAGGTTAGAGACGTCCTCTATCTTGTTGTTAATATGAATTTTTTTCTCTTGTTTACCGTTAACGAAATCAATTTTACTAATTGAGTTTAGCAACTATTTGGTTATATATGTATAGGTTTTGTCAGGGAAAGCGTTGCAGGGTTCACAACACTATGGATCTCGACTCGGTGCACACTCCTACAGCACCAATAAAGGTTGCCCTATTCTGTTTAATTCAATTTTATTATAAATATATTTATTTTGAATGGGGAAGTATGGAGAATTCTTTGGGATATGGATGTAAAGTTAAGAATATGAATTATAGGGAAATTGTCTTTGCTATTAATTGGAAGAGAATGAGAGATCTTTTTTGTTTCGGAACAGCCTGCAATAGGGAATAAGTTTTTTTTTCTGGCACTATTTCACTTGGAAATCTCTCTATGACATGCCTGTAACTGCCTTTTTTTCAATACATGATCACCGATCCTGGTGCTGTCTAGTTTTTATGTTTTCATGTATGTAAACTGCAGATGATGAAGAAAGGGAGCAGCTTGCAAAGGAGATTTCAAAGGACTGGAGTTCTGGTAATTTAGAGCAGTGAAATGTTTGAGTTCCTTTGCTTGTATGTGATCTATTTTAGGTGATAAATGGATTCTTATACTTTCCTAAATTGTAGTTTTTGAGCGAAGCATAAACACATTGTTTCTAACTGAAATGGTCCGGGGTCTCAGTCTGACACTCAAGTACTTCTTTGAGAAAAAAGTTACTGTAAGCATCTTTCTGATCCTTTTTTGTTTATATTTTTTTTTGGGGGGGGGGGTGGAGCGTATTGTATGGATATTGAAGCAATGAATGAATTATAATACAAACCTCGATTTTCCTATGCACAGATTAACTATCCATTTGAGAAGGGTCCATTGAGCCCTCGTTTTCGAGGGGAGCATGCTCTCCGCCGATACCCAACCGGAGAGGAGCGTTGCATTGCTTGTAAACTTTGTGAAGCTGTAAGTTGAAGCTTCATCTTATTGATCAGTGTTATCTGAATTTCTTTTTATTGTGGTTCTTCAACATGATAACAAATATTATCATTTGGGTAGAAGCCATCCACTCCTTTCTGGTATCAACATCTAACCGGAAACGGCGTTGCCTTGGGCTTTAACTTTTGAGTCTGAATGTTGTTGTTTTGGGTTGAAATACTGGCACTTAAAATGGATGGTCACTGCATTGATTCCTTTTGTATCATGCATCAAACGTTGGCTTCTATATTTCTTCTGTATATTAGCTCTATCACACTTTCTGGTTATAGAAAGGTTATTTAGTGTGCCATTGTTTATCTTGGAGAGAAAGCAATCTGCGGAAAGTTGGACCCTGTCAAACTGATGTTGTTAGCTCTGATTAAGCTTCTTTTATCTTTATTAAATATGGATTTACTATCATGATTCTCATGAAGTGGTGGTTTATCAGGTATGCCCAGCACTGGCTATCACAATAGAGGCTGAAGAACGAGAGGATGGAAGTCGTCGGACAACAAGGTCCGTTCTCTCTCCTCTTCTTTTTCTCTGTTAATGCTGTCTTCTTCGTCTAACTCTACTTCAATTTTGTAGGTATGACATTGATATGACCAAGTGTATCTACTGCGGACTTTGCCAAGAGGCATGCCCTGTCGATGCAATTGTTGAAGGACCCAACTTTGAGTTCGCCACCGAGACTCACGAGGTTAATCTTATTTTCAGTTAAATCTACTGTCGCTTGTATGTTGAAGTGAATTTGTTAATCGTCGGTATCATCGCAGGAACTTCTGTATGACAAAGAGAAGCTGCTCGAGAACGGTGACCGATGGGAAACCGAGATCGCAGAGAATCTCAGATCCGAAAGCCTTTATCGTTGATGTGCCCCTCTACTTTCCTTTCTTGCCCAGACAGCAACTTCTGTTTTCGTAGTTGTCGAAAAATAAAAGGATACATGCATGTTTCTTGCGATGTCATGTACCATGGTTTGTAAGCATTTACAATGTGTAAATCCATCCTATGAATTATTTCGTTTTAACTACATTTTAAGGTAATGATGGATAAAACATGACCGCCTAGTATGATATTCTTATAATTAAATTTTTGGGCAAATTGTGGATTAGACTTTTTAATGCCTAAATTTCAAATTATGGATTAGACTCTTTAATACCTAAATTTCAAATTATTACATATATCATGGATTGAGTTTAAAAATTTTAGTTGATTTTCTGTTTAAAATTAATTGTAAATAGTTAATAGTATGATATTAGATGATTTATTTTAAATATTTTTTTATAATATATATTATATTTTTCATATGTAATATATATAATATAAAGTTGAAGCTTGAACTTAAAAACCAAGTTATCTATTATTAAGAATTTTAAGTTATTTGGGTCTTATTATATAACCCAAAATTTGAATTAGATTTCAATGATGAAAGGAAATGTTGATCTCTCTAAAGGTTCCAATGTTGCTAATAGATTAAGAAATAATTTAACAGTTATGATCACCTAAGCTATTAAAATAACTCAAATTTTTTAAATCAAATTTTATTTTAAAACATATTGAGTTGAAAATTTTAAAAGTTTTGAATTGAGTTTTGCTCGATCTAGTGGTATGGAGGTTGAAGGATCTTATGATAATGGACAAAAAAAATAAATAAATAAGCTTATCATCAATTGGTTCCATGGTCTAGTGGTTAGGACATTGGACTCTGAATCCAGTAACCCGAGTTCAAATCTCGGTGGAACCTTAATTTTTTTAAAATTGCCGATTTTTGTTGGTGGATCTTTTCAATGGAATACATGTTTTATTTTTCCAATTCTCATTTTTTGAAGGAGTCCGGACAATTACAATTTATACTGCACACATATAAAGATGATATGGACATCTTGGAGTTCCGCAATTCGGTGCAGTTACCGAGCTCGAAAAAGCCCGATTTACATCGTCGACATGAGCTCCATCGGGTGCCGACCAGCAGGCACTCAAAATCGGAACACCGCTAGTCTTAATAAGAAAATAATCGAGAACAAAAAAATGAAGCCTCTCTGCTGCTAGTTACAATCCTAGTCTTTCTATCTCTTGCTCTTTCAGCGGCTCCGGGAATATCTCCTTCGAATGCAGTCGATGTGAGACCGAATGGTCTACTCCTGCTGCTTTCCGAGCACTGCTGCCCTTCGAACTGGTCGTTCCCTAATGTTCGAAACTATTTCCGCCTTCCGCTTTAGCACAGGAGGTTGCGGGAATAACTGCTCTATCGATCCGAAGAGTATCTTCACAAGCTACCAAAAAAAGCAGCATTCCAAGAACCTCTTGAGGACACTGTCCTAAGCCTTGCTGAGCTTGAATTATCCTCCCTAACCACCCTCAATGGATTTTCCAGTGCTTTGAGAACATATTTCGCGATGGTTTGGGATTTAGACACCGTCTAGCGACGATCGCCATGGCCCAGACTTCCTCCAATAGGTCCTCCTTCACTACAAGAGACGGATCCAAAAATTTTAGTCACGAGTTCCTTGTCGTTTATACTGATACATGGTGGTGTCTGCTCTAACCATTCGTTCATCCCGGTCTCACTTGACGCATCGATGTCGAGCTTACCAGTTACCAATCCGAGCTTTATTAAGTCTCTAGACTATTAAAAGCTATAAAATGATCTTCCGACTATAGACGGTTGCTTTGTTGAGTCCATCGACTATTAAAAGTTATGAAATGTTCACCTGACTATTCACTATGTTCAAAACTCGTCCTTTTTTCGTTGAAAATTTGATGATATTCTGAGCTGAATGTTAACTTGTTGACTGAGACAGGATAAAATCTAATTTCATAATCTCAAACGACTATCATATCTCATTCATCCTATTAACATCCAACTTAGATAACAACCATTTTTTTTTACGAAAAATGGTAAGTTTAGAAAATAATGAATAGTCAAATGATTATTTTATAAATTTTAATAACCGAGAGACTTAACAAAACAACAATCTATAATCGAAAAATCATTTGTAACTTTTAATAGCAGATTTAATAAAATAATATTTTATAGTCGAGGAATCATTTATTCTTAAATTTTAAAAAGCGATCGGCATATTATAATTTGTCATATAAGTAAAAGGAAAAGAAAGGGGAATTGACTTTTATTAGCCCTTTAGTGAAAAGGACATGACAAGATGAGCATAAAAAAATGTCTCCCCATTAGAATCAGTGTGTACCTAAACCCTAAATTCTAATTTAATATTTTTTAAGGAAAAAATTACGGAAGATATATGATCGAGTATACGAAATGAACATAGATACAAACAGATTTGATAACTATTTTAAATCGAGAGTAGATATGATTCGATGCACGTTTCGTGTTCTGGTAATCTATTTTTGTTGATGAAACAACAATCATGAACCATAAAAGGAAAAAAATATTTGATCATAATTGAAATATAATTAATTTATAATTCAAATTTAAATAAAGATGGTAATATATGAAATAACATGCAATGATTGGCATGTGATATTTTATATTCCTTCCTACGTATGTCTATAGCTTTTGCTCAGGATGGACTCAGGGGACGGGTGAGGATCGTCCTCCTGAAAAATTAAAATTATAAAATGATTAATATACAAATATTAAATGTGTGATATTTTATAATAATAATATTTTCACCTCATAAAATTATAAAATGATTAATATACAAATATTAAAAATATGAAATAATTCTAACTACTCAAATTTTAATATTTTACTAAATTAAACTATGTGTATATTATTATTATTAAGTTTATAATTTTAAGTAAAACATGAAAAATATGAATCGAGAAATGTCTAAATGAAAAGAACTCATTATTTTATGAGTATTTGTGTTCAAAGTAATGAGAATTATTCGTAACTTAATAATTTAGAGGTAAAACTACTGTTGATAATAAGTTATTACGTGATAATTATCTTTTTCGAAAATCAAACTCCCGAGAGCTTGCTCACGCGTACAGTCGAACACGTTGGATAGAGCCATATAGGCAATAAATTCCACTTAAAAGCTTAGTAAAACCCCCCACGGATTGAGTTTGAAAGGCTTGAAATGATTAAGAAATCAATGGGATAGCGAAAGGAAATTGGACGAGCGAAGGACCAATTGGCAAAAGAACAAATCTTGAGAGAGAAAGGAACCCAAAGACGTAGATGCGGATCTCTCTTGAAATTTTTAAATTCTTGTATAATTTAAATTTTTAAAATTTTTGTTGATAATCTAATTTTGTACCTTAAATTTGTATTATAATTTATTAAGTATAAAATTCTTCCCTTACATAATATCATGTGTTATTTTGTGTCAAAAGATATTAACGAATGATAAGGATTCCCCAAATATCGTCGACAAAGCTGCATGGTGTAACTTTCAACCAATCATCACCCATTTGCATGTGGTCATCGTCCCCATCTACAACTTGACACACTAGAGGCCATCACCTTGTGTGTGCTGCAAATGGTAAACCAGCCAGACAGCTAGCTCCAAAATTTTAGCCGATGCCCCTCCGCTAGTTGAGATCGTTATGCGACCGATGTCGTCGAGATGCAAAGTAATTGTCATTGTCGTTGTCGTCATACCTTCTCCCCAAATGATGAGGGCATAGTAGTAGTAGGTCCATTATAGGTTAGGGCTAACCTTAGAACTCAACTTGCAAAGCTATACCAATGTCTGATTCCGTTGAGGATTTAGACTTGTTATTTCAAAACCATATATTTATTCCCTCCGTTTTCTCGAAAACCGAATCATTTACGGATTCAAACATCAGTAACGAGATCAACATGAAATAAATTTACGCGATAAACGATTATGGATCATCGTCGATGGAGGTACACAAGGATATGGACCAGCCAAAGATCATACTCATTTGTTCATCCAAGAAAAAAAGGAAAGATTTCAAATCAAATTCCCATTTCAACACGGAAGAGCAAGTACTAGAGGGCAATAAAATTGAACCATATGGATATTTTTTCTCATATTCATATGGATGGGCATGAGATCCGAATCCGACGGGTTGCGACCCAACTTAATACGATCGGGTTGTTTTCTTTTAATTAGGTCGGGTTGTGTCGGTTTTTAAAAAAAATGTTCGGGTCGGATTCGATTTTGGGATGAAAATACCTGACCTGACCCGACCCAATAAATATAATTTTACTTTATATATTTAGGAATAATTACAATAATACCCATCTATATATTGTTTTTTTAATTAAATCAATGTTTTTATTGAATAAAAATAATATTTTATTATTATTTCGGGTCGGGTCGAGTTCGGATTTTATCTCAAAAAGTCGGGTCGGTGGGGAGTATATAATTTTTGTGTCGAATCTGATCGGGTTGGATAAAAAATATATTTTTTTTTGGTCATGTCGGGTTGTCCGAAACCCGACCCATGCTTATCCCTGCACATACAGCAGTATTCTGTCTTGATATCATCTGGTACCAGCTTTTGACGTGTCCTTTACATTTTAGGGACAATAATTCCACCATGTCTGTCGCATTTTTTCTTGGGTAAATTAGATATTTAGTACCTAAATTAACAGTTTTAGTCCATTTTAGTACTTAAACGTTCAATTTGTTTCAAAATCATACCTGAAATTTAGTTTTTGTTTCATTTTAGTATTCTCATTCAGAATTTAACGTTAATTTTTGAGATAAAATTTTGAAGTTTAGGTACTAAAACGGTCCAAAACTGATAGTTTAGGTACTAAACACATTAAGTTTTTAACGGTGTGGGACTGAAACAAAAACTAAACATTAGGTATGGTTTTGAAAAATTTAAAACTTTAGGTACTAAAGCGGACCAAAACAGAAAATTTAGGTACTGTATGCGTAGTTTACCCTCTTTTCTTTGATTCATTTGCTGGTCTTAAACTAACCTAAAACATACCTTTTTACCAGAAAACCGAACATTCGTCAAAGAAGACCCCGAATTGTAAGAAAAACTAGGTAATCAACAAGCCAGCTAAAATGCTTGGAATGTGGTTTGGAAAGATAATATTAAGGGATAAATCAACTTCTAGTT